ACTGCGGCTGTGAGAGTTGGTCTCTATGACTCAAGCATCCCTTTGACCCAAGGCCCCCTGCCCAGGCCCCAAGAGTAGACTTGGCCGCCTCACCTTTCCCTGCCTGTCTTCCTTCCCCTGCCCTGCCATTGTGCCCCCTCCGCCTGTTCCACTTGCGTTAAAGGGTGGCTGGTGAGGGAGGGTAGGAGCTGCAGGAGCTCCTGGGTGCTTTAAACTGCTTAGCATGCATTTCACAGCCTCTCTGGGGCCAGCTGTTCCTTTCTCTGCTCTCAGGGCCTGTTTGCTGATCCCCTCTCCACCTCCCTCCTCCCCACACCCCTCCCAGTCCCTGTGCAAAATTGCTTTTGAAAAGATCCACTTTCTGCTTAATTAAACAATGAGGAGGTCCCCTCGCACATCTGTAAACCTCCTTCTGCGGCCAGTTTAGCCCACAAACTGCTCCATTCTTACCCCCATTCACTTGTAAATGGCCCCTCTGATGTTCCCTCCACCCCCTCTCCTCTGTTACTCCCCCCTTGCCAGCTCTTTCTTTTCCCTTTTCAACTGAGGCCTGGGGTGGGCTCCCCGAAGAGCTCGACTTGGAGCCTGGTGGACTTGGTGGGGACAGAGGCGGTTTAACCTGTGGAAGAGAAGACTTAGGGGATCCTTTCTTCCATATCTGAAGGGCCATCCTGGGGAAGAGGGGGTACATTTGTTGGCATGGTCCCCGTGGACCATTCAGGCCCAGTGGGTGGGAATGACAGGAAGACAGATTTCTGCTTGGGAGAAAAGAGCTCTTAACAATCAGGGCCGCTGCACAGAGGGGCTGACCTCCTGTCCCTGGAGGTGTTCAAAGAGAGGCTGGATGAGGGTCAGTATCAGAGACGACTTTGAGGTTGTTCCCTTTCAGTCCCGCGAGGCTGAGGCTGACACCTTTTGGGGCTCTCCCACAGTGGGCAGTCAGTGTCCCCCAGAGTAGGACAAGTCCACTGGGGCGAGGGATTCTGGTGGAGCTTGCGTCGGTGCTCTCCACAATGGGTATCCTCCCTTTGGCAGCAGCCTTTAGAAGGTACTGGAGCCCAGAGGATGAGGAATCTGAAGTCACTGTGGGCTTACAGCTCAGAGCAGCCATCTGTTGAGCGTGTCCTGTGTATGTGACACTGCCAGGCCTGCCATGGGCGTTGTGCCTTACGTAATCCTCAGCAGCTCTTGGCATTTGGATTATTATCCCTGCTTGTCAGAGGATGACCCTGAGGCAGCAAGGTGAAGTGATTTCCCAGCCAAGGCCGTTGAGCACACAGCACAGGTCCTCTGGCTGTAGACTCAGAACTCAACCACTCCATCATAGAGCAGCAGCTCTCATCACCTGCTCTGTCCCCAATGGGCAGGCCAGGTGCCAAGGCATCCTGCACTGGAAACCTTGTGTTAGGTGCCCGTCTCCCTCCTCTGGTGCCGTGTGCCCAGGGGCAGCCTGGCTGCCAGCACCTCTAGCCTCAGAGTGTCATTCCTTCCACATGGGTTGTCCTGGGAGCATTAGCCAACCCCAACATCTTGTGGGTTCAAACATCTAAAATAGAAGGAAGGTCAGTATCTAGGACCCCTCACTACTCTCCCAGTCCCCTTATTCCCTTTCCAGCTTCTGATGGGAAGATACTGGATGCCACAGAAAACCCCAGCCAGTCCCAGCACTATCTGATTCATGGTTGGTTCTGCCCTGCCCTCTAAAGCTGGGGTGCCAGACCACTGGGCAGAGTGTGCAGAAACCCAGAGAGTGCGAGGGGTGTAGGTTCTTCCTCTGGATCCTAGAGTAATTACAGCATTGATATGCAGGTTACAGTGCTGAGAGATTTCTATATATCGTCTTATTTTATCCCCCACAATGACCCTATGAGACAATGTTAACATTCCCATTTTACAAAAAAAGGAAGCTGAGGCCGTTTTACAAAAAAAGGAAGCTGAGGCTCCAAGAATTCCTTACCCAAGGTCATAGAACTAGGAAGTGATGGAGTCCAGCTCAAAACCAGGCCTGTCTGACTCCAGGGTCCATGGTTTTAATCTCTTTCTCCCTCCCGCCTTCCCTCCCTACCTCCCCAGTTGTCCACTCAAGTAATGGTAATGGTAGTGCCATACGTTTGAGCTGGATTGTGATTCGAGTGTCACATCAGAGACACATGGAAGCACAGGCCTGGGCAGTGGGTCCTGGTTCCCAGGAAGCACATACCTAGGAGATACCGCCGAGGTTCACTAAGAGGGAGAGGCCCCTACGAGAGCAGGCCCGTTCTCAAGGCCTGGCCCCATCTCCTGCTGAGCTTCTTACCTTCTCCGTTCTGCTAACTTCAACCTGCCCATTCCATCCTGCCCCAGCCTTCCCATGTGTTATCCTTCTGCCCAGAATGCTCCCCACCCCACTCATCCTTCAGACCTGAGCTTCACTGTTTAACATCCTCAGCCAGGCCTTTCCTGATCCCAGATGAAGGAGATAGCATGTGTCACAACTAATTAATATGGTCTGTCTCCCCTGCTGGCCTCTAGCTCCATGAGGGTAGGGAGCTCTGTGTCCCTCTTGCCCACTACCATCTCGCTAGCACCTTGCACATAGTAGCTGCTCAATAAATATTTGTCTCCTGAGTGATCACATGGGATTCCAGGAGGGAGACCGCCCCTAGTAGGAGAGGGAAGACAAGAGGACACAGAGTGGGAAGGTGAAAGTGAGAGTCTCCAGCCCCCATCTATCCCAGAGTCATCCATCCCCAAGCTACCAGCCCCTGACTCTGCTTAACCCTTCCTCCTCCCCTGGGCGCCTTTGGAAGCCGACCATCTGGCTTGGAGGCTATTTGCATATTGTCTGTGCCTCAGCAAGCCTAGCAAGATGTCCCTGGGGGTGTGTTTCAGGCCAGGCCGAGTGGCCCTTGCATCCTGCGAAGGGAGCCATGAGTTCCCCCTCTCCCCACCCCCAAATCCAGGCATGGGGGAACAATACGGGTGGTGATGCGGTAGCCTCACCATGGTAACAGGCTATCAAAAATGTGGGCAGGCCTGGGTGGGGGGTGGGCAGAAGAGGGAGGGAGTGACCTCAGCAAATAGGAGCATCATGATAAATGAGCCAGCACCGGGCAGCAGACTTATCCCCCAGCTCATCCCTCTGGGACTCCATGCTGGTGCCATCGTTCAGATGACCCCACCATGACCACTAGCCCTTCCCCCACCTCCAGGCCTATCCAGAGTGGAGCAGAAGCACCTTCCCTTTGGAGGGAGCCAGGACTGTCTCCTAATTGAGTCCGGGTTCCACGCAGGCCAGGCACTGCCTAGACCCTCTCGCCGTCTCCACACACACAGGCACACCCCCGCCCGCCTGGGCTGGCTGATGGATGTGTCAGACCCCGGTGGCTCTATCGAGCGGCCACAAGATGTATGGGTTGGCGGCCCACCAGACAGTGCCAAGATGGAGGCCAAGGGGATTCAGAGCCAAGGGGAAACCTCTGAAACCCAGACCTCAGGGAGGAACCCAGCCAGGAGTCCAAGTGGGCTGCAGCTCGTTGGAGGCAGCCTTCTCCCCATCCCATGCCTACTCCAGGGACCATGAAGACTCCGGTCTGCTTTGTTTAAAAGGAGACATTAAAATGGAAAGGCGGCAGCCTCAGTCCATGGACACTTTGCCCATGGCCCTGTGCTCTGCTGGCATACGAGCCAGGCAAGTTGGCACTGAGCAAAGTGGACCATCCAGGCTGCAGGCCTGTCAGAGCGAGGGTGGCACGCATGCCAGCCAGTGTGCCTTAACTCCCTGCCCAAGGCTGGGGCTGTGTGTGTGTGCGCCACGCTGCGGGCCCGGACGGGGCAAGGCAAAGTCTCCCTGAGTCCTAGCAGCCTCTCCCTCGCCTACACTCCAGGACTCTGGACTCCAGGCAGGAAAACCAAGGCCCCACCTGGGCCTTCTCCAGCTTAGCCCTGAGCTTTGTCTCAGGCATTAGTCCAGGACAGCAGACCCCTCTGGACACTGACTCAGGATGGGGGTGGTTAACCCCAACCCCTCTGCTGGCTTCCCAGAAGCAAGTTGTCTCCCTAGGACCTTTATCCTCAAGTTGTCTCCCTAGGACCTTTATCCTCAAGTTGTCTAAGGGAATGAGAAGAAACTCCGCAGCCTCAGGAGAATGGCCCTGTTTCAGGGGCAGACAGTTGAGGACCATAGGCTTCGAGATGTTTATAGAACCACATTCCTGTGTGCTGTGGCTCGATACTGCTGCCCCTAGGAAAGGAGAGGTGACCCTGGAGACAGGTGACTCTGAGCCTCCACATGACATACAGAGAGACTGGTGGCTCTCCTAGAACCACAGGGAGGCAGATCTCAGTGTTAGCTGAGCAGGAGAGGCCCCTGTCACCCCAATCTCTGGCCACCGCTGGCGTGGAGGGCTCTGGAAGCGTGGGGTGGTGGCAGGGGAGTAGAGCGGGGATTTGTCAGCATCCCTGGCTGGTGAATGATCCTTTTCTCTCTCTGCCGGAGGAAATTAACTGATGTTATCAGCTCAGCAATTGTTTTTTTCCCCTCACAAAGGGAAATATATGCAGACCCCTCCAAGAGCAAAGCCGAAGCCTTCCCATCTGGGACTGGCTGGAGAGAGAAAGGTGGAGGGGGCTCTTCAGAGTCCTCTCAGAAGTCCAGCCATGGCAGTTGGAGACTGGCTTCCAGGACTCGTGGTTAGGGGCTTGTCTCCTAACCCTTTAGATGCGACAGTCCTCCCGCCATCTGCCTGGAATCCCTCCACTCTAGGTAAATCCCATTGCCTCTTCTCCAGGACTTCAGCAGTGCCATGTGCAGCTGTCTCTGAAGATCCACCTGGCAAGTCACCGGCCTGTCCTAAACTGTTTCCTCACCTTTGGAATGAACAAGTTCATGGGCCATCACAGCCTGGTCTAAAAAAAGCCCTCTAAACCCCATGTGTATTTCCGTCTGGGCCAGGCAAGGCTCTGGGGGGACAGGTGTCATTTGAGTTTGACAAGAGTTTGTTCTGTGCATTCCTCTCCAGGGGACATCCGGAACCTGCTCGTCTGGATCAAGAAGAATTTGCTAAAAGAGCGGCCAGAGTTATTCATCCAGGGAGACAGCGTGTGAGTCCCATTCCTCCCTTCCCTGAAGAGGGTGGAGGGAGGGACGGATATCTGAGCCCCCACCCTCAGGTTCAGTCCTGGCCTTCTCTGAATCCGGTTCTCCCCTTCCTCCTCCTTGACTCCTCCAGAAAATAGTCTGAGATCTATTTTCAGTTTTCTTGTTCCTAAAACCAAACTCTTGAGGATTTTTTAAATCCCAGATGAAAGGAGCCTGGTGAATTTCTCAGAAAACTTGGATTCTGCCCTCTGGTTGCCACAGACTTGCTGTGGGACCTTAGACGACTTACTTCACTTCTCTGGGCCTCAGTTACTCTCTACACAGAAAGTGCTGAGGAAAAAAAATGTAGCTAGTACAACTGAAGAGCTAAATATTGTATTTTATTTCATTGTAATTTAAAGAGCCACATGTGGCTAGTAGATTACCATAAGGTGCAGCACAGGTCTAGAATTCCAAGGAGTCACTGACTCTGTGCATGCACACACCCATTCACACGCACACACACTCACTGGGGACACCCCATAGAAGCCCAGAGCAGTCTCCTTGGAAAGGACCAGGTTCCAGTTGCCAAGAAGTTACTTCTAAAACAAGGCCAGTCCCCCTTGTGAAAGGTGGCCGGTGCAGTTGTGAGGCTCGCTTATTTGCCTCGAAGCATAGGTCACTGTGAGGTCCTAGGGGATCAGCCTTCCTTCAGGTCATGGTCCAGTGGTCCTGGAGGCCACCTCTAAGGCCAGCAGCGCTCCTTGGGCCATTACCAGTGGGAGCCAGGCTAAGTTGCCTGACCAAATGCTGACCTACGCTGCCTTATGCCAGGCAGGACTGCACATGAACATTGCCATGTGGCATGGCAACTGATTCAGAAGAGGCAAAACAGCCTTCTCTCCAGGATGTGCATGCAGAGACCTAAAAAAAGCTGAAGTTCTTTTCCAGGGCTAATGAGAGTAAGGTTAGACCCCTGGAAAAGTCCCACTAATGATTACTGTGACAGTGTGGCAAGAACTCCACACATACCAGCTGATTTCGTTTTCGTGTAGGCCTTGTGGGACAGACACTATCACTTATCCCATTTTCAGATGAGGAACCTGATACTCAGAAACAAAATGACCTGCCCACGGTCTGGGTGGTGGTGCTGGCTGGCATTTGCACCCATTTTTCCATCTGGCTACAAAGACCATGCATGACTGTCTGACCTAGTTTCCTTCACACTCAGACCAGCCTCCCCTTCCTGGGAGATCTTTAGCCAGACCCCAGGAGGAAGGCTCCCCAGCACACTCTCCTGCTCTCCTGCAGCCCAAAGCTCTCAGCCTCTCTTCCTCTGTGCTACTGCCTCCTGCTTCTCACTCCCTGCTACTCACCACTATCTTTCCCACAGGCGGCCAGGAATTCTGGTGCTGATTAACGATGCCGACTGGGAGCTACTGGTCAGTACCTCGGGTGACATCCCTCCCCCAGCCCTTGCCCTTGCTGCTTCAGTGGGAAAGCCTTGGGCCTCTCTCAGGCACATATAGAGTGGCTGGGTAATCCTCTGCCCCACTCCAGCCCCACACTGAGGCTGCTGGAGTCTCTCACTCCAGGTGAGGAAGGGATGGGTAGCTGGGGACGTGGGAGCAGCCCTCCATCCTGAAGATTTGCAGGTTGAGGTATAGGATACCCATTTTTCTGGTACAGTCTGTCTCTTCCAGAGCAGCCAGTCCTCAGCCCCTGCTCTCCCAACTCCTGGGGTGGAACTGGGAAGGTAGCCCTGAGGGTCTCCCACTCCCCTCTGTCCCGCACCAGGGTGAGCTGGACTATCAGCTTCAGGACCAGGACAGCGTCCTCTTCATCTCCACTCTGCACGGCGGCTGAGGGCCCTTCTCTGGGCCTGGGCACCCTTAGAGGGGAGAACGAAGCAATCAGACATCCCCTTGGGCCCTGCTTCCAGGTCTCCCTGTCCCCCTTGCCTGTCTTCTTCCCTGCTCTGTCCCCCAAGCTCCCTCCAGGCAGGGAAAAGAGGCCAGGTGCTAAAAATGAGCCTTTCTCAAGCACGTGAGCAGGGGAAGGCAGACAGGCACCAGAGCCCAGCACTCCCTTTTCCAGCAGCTGTGATGGGGGAGGGTGCCCCTCTGGTTTGTCAAGAGTGGAAGGAGGCTCTGTGGCCAGGTGACCTGGCTGCCTTCCACTCCTTGTACCTCAGTCTAAACATGGAGTGGCCGCTGACAAGGTGCTCCAGCCCCAGAGCCAGCATCTTCATGGGGAAGATGAATGGACCTGAGTAGCTGAAGGAAGGCCCCTCCCTACCCAAAGATTGGAGGCTTCTCAGCCTCAATTTCCCTGTCTGGACAGCTGAGGGCTCTGCCTGTCCCCCACTGCTATCAGTATGGAACCCCAGCTGGGGTCCCCTATTCAGTGCTGACTCCCCCCAGCCAGCAGCTGCTCCTCCAGCCACACCCCTCCTTCTGCTCCCCCCACCCCTAGCCCTTGACCCTGGCTGGCCTACCCCCCTCCACAGGCCACCAGATGGGCTCCTGAGACCCTCCCCAGGCTGCTTACAGCTCATTCTGCTGGGGGTAGAGATGAGGGGAGGGAGTAAGTTAAACCTTGGAGTAGCAAGTAGAAGCCTGGGGGGGATCTGTGTGCCTCAGTTTCCTCCTCAACAACTGAATATTTATAGTGGCTGAAAACTGGGGAGATACCTGATGGTGCAGATGTCCATTTTCTCTCCCTTCCCACCTCCTGCAGGAAGCAGGAGGGGGCAGGCCGCACCTGGTAGGCAGAGTGGTTTGCTCCCCCTCCCCTTCCCTTCTGGAAGTCTTGGGGCCTCAGTGCTTGCAACAGCCGGCCTTGTGCAAATAAAAGACTAGGTTGTTTACTAGCCTTGCTTGGAGCTTCATCCTTGGAAACAGGTGGCACCTCATATCCCCCCAGCCATGGTCTGTGATACAACCTCTCCATCCTCAGCCTAGAGCCTCAGAGCTACCCTTCACCCTTCACCCAAAAGAGGGGTGGGGGTGAACACTCAGACAATCTGAGACAGGGTAGTCTAATAGAGCCATCTGGAGAAGGGGGTGGCAGAGTCAGTCTGTGCTGACCAGTCTGCGTCCCAGGACGCATCCCCACCCGTCTGTCCAAGGCTTTGTCCCACCAGCTGCAGCCAGCAGCCTCAGAACCCAGAATGGGGGTGGCATAGATAAGACTGCTGAGCCCCCTTTCTGTGGTCTTTCCTTCCCATGACCTGGAGAAAAGAGCTTTGTTTGCTGGAGGGAGACCCCCAAAAAGAATTAGGGTGCTAACATCCCATCAAAAGCGTCATCCCACCCAAAATAGTGCTTTTCATTCTATGTCAGTAATTTAAAGTGGAATTTCTCACCTCTCACCCTGTGGAGATGGAAGTGGCAAAAGGTTGTCCCAGCAGTGTTGGGGGACGGGGTGTATACATCATTCTTTAGGGGATGGATGACCTGCCGGCTGGTGGGCTTTTCTCCAGCACTACTGCAGGTAGAAGCCCTCTGGGCTTGTGTGGAGTGGGAGCAGCCCTGTTGGGACTATGGGGAGGAGCTGGTCTGGGTGCAAATTAAGGCTAGTGTTGGGGTCTGAGTGCTGTCCAGAAAGGCTGTGTGACCAGCCCTCACTAGTTCCTGAGGTCAGGGTCTCCATGTTAGGGAACAAAGCAGGAGACTTGGAACAGCCCCTACCGCTGCACTTTCAGAAGGTCAGCCTGTCCCATTCTTGTAACCTGGAGGTCCCTCCCTGTCTCCACCCCACTGAGCTGCAGGAGCAGCGCATCAGTGCACCTGATTGGAACACCCCAGATTGCAGGTCCTGGAAACTGGGCGCTAGGATCCGTTTCTCTGGCTGCAAAGAGTGGGAGGCCTGATGTGGGATATCCCTTCTCCCACCACACCCCAATTAATGCTGAAGAGTAGGGCAGGAGGAGGTGCTGGGAAAACCGGGTTTTTTGGCACATGGGGGTGCAAGCACTGTGGTTGAAATTGGCCATGGCCAAGGCACTCCAGACGATTTCAGGTCATTTTTAGCCCCAGGCTGGAAAGGGGTCAGGGGACAGGTGACCTGGGCTCAGCCAGCCCCCAGCAGCTCCCAACCACCCCTCTCCCAAGCAACTCCTGGTCCCTGCTTTTGAGGAAATAAACAAATAAAACCCCGCTATCTCCGAAGATTTTTCTTTAATGAAAAGGATTCGTTTTTCCAAGTTCTATTTCCAAAGCCAAGGCGATTGCCGGGCTGGAGCGCATCGTTGGCGACGCTTGCCCGTCGGACCCTGGCAGCGGCTGGAGGAGGCTCAGCCTCTCGGTCCGTCCGGAGGGCTTGCGGGAGGGGTTGGTTGGTTTGGGATTTAGGGGTTGATTGAGGATTTGTTTTGTTTAGGTAGAGAGTATTGGGGTGATAAGTTAGAACAACTGCGAAACGAGTTAGCGGGCGCATTCGGCCGGCCTCTTTCACCCCCGACTTCCTGCGGCTTGGGCTGAGGGCGGACCACGTTCGGCCCCGCCGCTGCGTGCAGGCTTCGTTCCGGCCGAAATTTGAAAGGAGGAAAAACGACGCGATCGACTGGAGGACCCTGCCGGCCGGTACTGGTCACCCGCAGAGGAGAAGGAAGAAGGACGAGGATGCGGATGGCGGCGCTGGTGGCAGGGACCGGCGTCCCTGTGCGCGCGGGCTGGGACCGCGATCCTCGCCCTGGGGCCAGCCAGCCGCCGCCCCGAGAGGTCTCGCCCGCGCTGAGCTCCGTCCCTGCGGCCCCCGCCCCTGTTGCGCCCGGAGCTCAGCCACAGATGTCCAGCCACAATTCTCGGTTGGCCGCAGACTCGTACAAGAATTGCGTTTGGACAATCAGTGGCGAAGCCCCTGAGTTCAGGGCCCTGGTCTCCTGCGGGGTTCCGCTTCGCTCCTAAAAAGCGCCAGACCAGGACATCTCGGAGCTGCGCGTCGGACCACCTCGCAGGCGCTCAGCAGCGGCTGCCCATCTGGCGGTAAGGTGGACTAGCAAGCACGCGGATCCTGACCCTGTGCGGGGATCCCCATCGCCCCTGGCGTGGCTCCTTCGATCGCGGCCCGGAGTCCCCAGAGTGGCCCGCGTTGGGTCTCAGCGCCGCCCCAGGTCGAGGGGGAATCTCCTCTGTCAGGCCTGGGGAACCCCGACTCCCCTCTCCCTGCCCCCAGCCTGGACTCTCCGGGAATCCGGAAGGCAGGACCCCCAGGCCGGGTCGCGTTTCCGAGCCCGGGGTCCAGGTTGCTGGATTCGTGGGTCCCCCGCCCCCGCCCAGCCCCGCGCACGCACCGGCTCGGGCGCTCTCCGCTTTCCTGTGGCTGAGTCGCGGCCGGGGCGCCTGCGGTGGCGGTGGCGGCAGTGGCCCGGGCGGCGGAGAGTGCTGGAATGCGCCGCCGGGTCACCTGCAGCGCCCGGGGAGCCGGACTGGGAGCCGGCGGGCTGCCGAGGCGCAGGGCTGAACCCGAGCGGGCGCCTCTGGCGGCTCGGGGCCGGGGCGGGCTTTTAGTGGGCCGCTCCAACAATACGGGCCTGGCGCGGAGAAAGGGGCTCGGCTGCAATTGGTACTGGATTTGAATAACGCCACGGGGCCATCAATGGTCATTGTGTCGGCGGGTAATGAATCTCCGCTGTCTCTCGGGCTGGCCAGGCAGCTGCAACCTGCGCTCAGGCAGCTCTTAAAGACATAGCGTGCCCCTCCCCGGGGGCCGCCTCCCCCTCTGCACCGGCCGGACCCCTCGTCCTCCCACCCCCACTCGGCGCCCTCAACTCCCGATGCCCCGCCTGCTCCCTCGGCCTGACCCCTTTGCCCATCGCCCCCTCCCTTCTCCTGGGCCAGGCACCAGCATCCCGGCCCTGCTCTCCCCTGGACCTGACTCAGGCCCCGGCCTTGGCTGAGCAATCCAAGAGCACCCAGGGCACCCCATAGTCTTTTACGGCCCATCCCTTGTCTCCCAGCTGCATGGAAACCAAAGGCCTCTGGAGCCCCCCTCCCTAGGACCCTGCCCAGGGGCTTTCACTGGAGGGTGAAGGGGAACAGCCTGGAAGTCAGAGGGTCACCCCCTGAGAAGACCACGCTGAAGGATAAAGGAGAAGGGGGTACAGTCCCCACCCCTGGGCTGAGGATGCCATCCCTGGAGACCACACCCCACCCGGGAGCTGGAGCCTACCCCCTCCCCCCACCAAGGACCAGAGCTTGATTCCCAGGCTCCAGCAGGCTCCTGGATACCTCGGGGCTAGCAGCAGGGGTGGGGGGAGGGGAGCAGGTGGGTGTGAGAGGGGCGTGGAATCTGTGAATGCTTGTCTTGTCACTGTCTCTTCCATTGGGCAGTCCACCCATCCAGGAGAGCAGGGGCTCTGTCCAAGGTCTAATGCACCCCCAGCCCCACCCCCGGCCTGGTGTGGCAGAGAAGGTTCTCAGTCTACTGGGTAGATACATAGCCAGTTTCTCACCCCTAAAGCCCAGCCTGTCTTTCCCAATGAACCTCACACCCTAAAGCCGGAGTGTGTGGTCATTTTTCCCATACAGCCTGCCTTCCATTCACCCCAGGGTTCTCCAAGCACCCAAAATACCCTTGCCTCTGTCCTGGCACACCAAGCTGCCTTGCTTTGAAATGCTCTCCTGTCCTCACAATCTCTGGGTGGCCTTGCCACGTGCCTGGCTGAATTGTGAATATCGGTTTGTCTGAGTCTCCTCCCTAGGACAGGAAATGGGTCCTACGGATCTTTGTGCCTCCAGGGCCTAGTCCAGTGCCCTCCCCCCAACCAATCATTAAATATCTGTGGGTGGTTGCACCATGCCCGGTGACTTCAAAATGAGTCACATAGACTTCTTGGAGTTTCTTATAAAAGTTGAAAGAATGTTGCTTGTGGGGAGTAATTCTTGCAGCCCGGGTTTTACAGGGAGGGAGCCCTGCTGACCAGATTCCAACTCCTGGGAATGCTCCATTTGGTAATAATAACAGCAAAGATTGTGTATTGTGTGCCAAGCACTAAGCTCTTTGAAGGTAGTAGCTCACTGATTCCTTACAATAAGCCTGGAAAGTAAGTGCTGTTATCAGCTCCATTTCACAGATGAAGAAACTGCAGAGCCATCCTTCCTTAGGCTCCTGCCTGGGGCTTCCAGCTGGAGAGGGAGGGGGAGAATTCTGGAGGTCAGAGGGTCACCCCCTGAGAAGACCATGCTGGAGAATAAGGGAGAAGGCATGCAGCCCCAATCCCCAACCTCCAGAGACCGCACCCACTAGGGATCTAGAAACCCAGAGCTGTGGAACTTATTGCACACTCTAGTTTCCCAGACTTTATTTAGCAGGTACAGAGGGGATGGATGTAAATGCACACTTAAAACGACAGGATCCAGGAGACACTCTGTGTCACCTTATAACATTATAATCCAGTCCCAGCCCCACCCCAGCCTGGCATGAACACAACCAAGATAGAGTGGGCAACAGTAGTCTCTGATTGCTGGGTGCCATGGCCCACGTGCATAATCCCAACACTTTGGGAGGCCAAGGCTGGAGGCCAAGGCAGGAAGATTGAGAGACTTGGTCTAAAAAAAAAAAAAAAACCAGCCTGGGCAACAAAGTGAGACCCCCAGCTCTACAAAAATAAAAATAAACATGATTTATTTATTCATTTTAAGAGGGAGTCTTGCTTTGTCGCCCAGGCTGGAGTGCAGTGGCACAATCTCAGCTCACTGCAATCTCCACCTCCTGGGTTCAAGCAATTCTCCTGCCTCAGCCTCCGGAGTAGCTTGAGATTACAGGCACCCGCCATCATGCCTGGCTAATTTTTGTATTTTAGTACAGACGGGTTTTCACCATGTTGGTAAGGCTGGTCTCAAACTCCTGACCTCAAATGATCCGCCCTCCTCAGCCTCCCAAAGTGCCAGGATTACAGGCCTGAGCCACCGCACCCGGCCAAAATAAACATTTTTAAATAAAAATGTAAAAAAGAGTTGGGGGCTGGCCGGGCGCGGGGATTCACACTAGTAATCCCAGCACTTTGGGAGGCCGAGGCAGGCAGGTCAGGAGACCCGAGACTGAGACCATCCTAACACGGTGAAACCCCATCTCTACTAAAAATACAAAAAAATAACGGGACGTGGTGGCACGCGCCTGTAGTCCCAGCTACTCGGGAGGCTGAGGCAGGAGAATGGCATGAACCCAGGAGGCGGAGTTTGCAGTGAGCAGAGATCGCGCTACTGCACTCCAGCCTGGGTAACAGTGCCTGACTCCGTCTCAAAAAAAAAAAAAAAAAAAAAAAAAGCGTTGGGGGCTCCCAAGCTAGGTCCTAGCTGCCTTCTAGGAGAAGGGCTTTTCCGTCCCCAGGGTACGTTAGAGCTTTTTTTTTGTTTTTTTGAGACGGGTGTCTCCCTATGTTGCCCAGGCTGGTTCTCGAACTCCTGGGCTCAAGGGATCCTTTCACCTCAGCCTCCTGAGTAGCTGAAATTTGACAGGAATGTGCCACCACGCCCAACTGAGCTATGTAAAGCCCATCAGTACGGGGCAGAGAAGTGAGTTGCCCTCACCCTCACCCTCAGGGAAATGAGGAGCCAAGAAGGCTGCTAACTGCAGTCACTGAACAGATATTGATGGAATGCCTACTGTGTGCTCGCCCGGGACTCGGCAGAGGACAGATGTCCCCAGAGGAGACGCACAGTGTGCGATGGAGGCAGATCCTGGGGGAGGAGGAATGGGGAGTTAGGTGAAGGACTGTCTCAGGCGGAGGGAACAGCGTGCTCTAAAGAAGTACTTGGCGAGCTCGGAGAAGGAAGGAAATTTGGTGTGGCTGGAGCGCAACGAGGAAGGGGAAGTTCCACATAAAGCTGAGGTCGACCTTGCCAGGCTCTTAGGCTATTGGGGAGGATTTGTGATTTTATCCTAAACGCAGTAGGGATCCTGAAAGGTCTGACAAGTTCAGATTTACATTTTTAAAGGTTTGCTGGGACTGAAGTGTGGAGAATGGGGGGTGGGGGCGGGGGGATGGGGCATGTTTGATGACCAGAGACCAATTAGGCTACTGCAGGTTCCCAGGTGAGGGCTGGCGGTGGCAGAGCAGGTTCTGTAGCTGCGTTCTCGACGGTCTGAGTGATTCTCTGTGAGCAACGCTTAGTGGACCTGATGTTTGCAAGGCACTGTGTGTGTGCTGGAGGTAGGGGAAGGGAGAAAGGCAAATAGTGTCGTTGCCCCCCAGAAGTACCTGGTATCCAGTGGACAAGTGGACCAACAGACACAAATACCCAGCCAACTCTAATGAAAGAGCAGAGCCCCAGGAAAGCATGGTAGCTGAAGAATTAGCAAGGTTCTGGGGCTTATAGAAGACAGAGATTCATTTGAACAGGGAGGCTGTGGGAAGAGTTCAGCAAGAGCCAGCATTGCCTTGGGCTTCCAGGACAAGTGATTCCAGGAGGCTGAATCTTAGTGACAGCCCCTGTGCCTATCCATCGTGCCTGTCCTGCCTCCCTAGAGATAGGTGGGTGTTAGGAGGATCCAAACACCCTCTACATGTGCTTGCAGTTAAGTAATGTGTCATCATGAGCTTCCACCATCACCACCCTACACCCCCAGTGTGCATGCACACACACACGCACACACACAAAACCAACTCTCAGGAAGATGGCAGAGTCAGCGGGGCGCAGTGGCTCACGCCTGTAATCCCAGCACTTTGGGAGGCTGAGGTGGGCGGATCACCTGAGGTCAGGAGTTCGAGACCAGCCTGGCCAACATGGTGAAAATCCGTCTCTACTAAAAATACAAAAATTAGTCGGGTGTGGTGGCAGATGCCTGTAATTCAAGCTACTCAGGAGGCTGAGGCAGAAGAATTGCTTGAACCCAGGAGGCAGAAGTTGCAGTGAGCTGAGATCCCACCACTGCACTCCAGCCTGGGTGACAGAGTAAGACCCTGTCTCAACAAAAAAATAAAAAAGATGGCAGAGTTGTCCACACTGTCAGTTAAGCAAGCCCTTCCTTCCCACCAGGACTGGCTTTTTTTTTTTCTTTTTTTTGAGACAGAGTCTCGGTCTGTCATCCAGGCTGGAGTGCAGTGGCGTGATATCGGCTCACTGCAACCTCTGCCTCCTAGGTTCAAGCGATTCTCCTGCCTCAGCCTCCCGAGTAGCTGGGACTACAGGCGCGAGCCACCATGCTTGGCTAACTTTTGTATTTTTAGTAGAGGCGGGGTTTCACCACGTTGACCAGAATGGTCTCAATCTCTCGACCTCGTGATCCACCCACCTCAGCCTCCCAAAGTGCTGGGGTTACAGGCGTAAGTCACTGCACCTGGCTTTTTTTTTTTTTTTTTTTTTTTTTTTTTTGAGGTAGAGTCTCACTCTGTCGCGCAGGCTGGAGTGCAGTGGCACAATCTCGATTCACTGCAACCCCTGTCTCCCAGATTCAAGCAATCCTCATGCCTCAGCCTCTCAAGTAGCTGGGACTACAGGTGTGTGCCACCATGCCCAGCTGATTTTTGTATTTTTAGTAGAGATGGGGTTTCACTGTGTTGGCCTCAAACTCCTGACCTCAAGTGATCCGCCCACTTCAGCCTCCCAAAGTGCTGGGATTACAGGCATGAGCCATCATGCCTGGCCTGGCCTGGCATTTTACCAAGGAATTTTTTTTTTTTTTTTTTTTTTTGATTATGGAGTCTTACTCTGTCACCCAGGCTGAAGTGCAGTGGCAAAATCTTGGCTCAGTGCAACCTCCACCTCCCAGGTTCAAGCGATTCTCCCTGCCTCAGCCTCCCAAGTAGCTGGGACTACAGGGGCCCATCACCACGCCTCGCTAATTTTTGTGTTTTTAGTAGAGACAGGGTTTTGCCATGTTGGCCAGGCTGGTCTCGAACTCCTGACCTCAGGTGATCCTCCTCAGCCTCCCAAAGTACTGGGATTACAGGCCTGAGCCACCGCGCCCGGCCTTTACCAAGGATTTGACCAAAAATCATGCTCAACACAAAGGACATGCTTAGTAAACATCTGTTGAACGAATGATGAATGAATGAATGGATGAATTGACGAATACTTTATTGAAGTAATAATTAAATGAATGGGTAGATGGAAACGGATGCGTGAAAAAGCAGACTTTGGGACAATGGAGTGAAAGATGAAATTAATAAGGAATTGACAGTGGGTACATGGATGTTTGCAGCCAATCAGCTGAGGTTCTAGGTGTGGCACTTGAGGTATTGCTGTGGGTGGGGCTCATTGAAGGGGGCTGGGAGGGGCTTCCATCATACAGCAGCCTCAATTCTGCACTTCGAAGGCAAGCCCAGGACCCAGAGCATGCAGACAGGTGTCCAGGGAACAGCTGTGGTGACAGCCTCCACCTCGGTGCCAGATCTTTCCGTCCCTAGAGTCCTGTCCCCAAGTGTTTCTGTCAATCCAGGTTTCACCATGACTTGGCCGGCGGCCTGGGATAGAGGAAAGAGCCCTATTGCTATTCGGTGTGCCTCCACAGGCCAGGCCCTTGCCCACTCTGGGCTCCAGTGGCCAGACCCATTTATACAAAGAGAACTCTCTAAGACTGGCCAGTGCTCTTACATGGTGTCCTACCTCTAGAAATGAACTGACAACCTGACTCACTCCAGTCTCAGAAGATGCCAGAGCCAGGCCATCTGTCCCCACTCAGAGGGGATCCTAAGAACCCCTCCACCCTGCCTACCATGTTTCAGCTTACAGATGTTCCTCTCTATGAAGTGAGTGAAGGCGGGGCAGGGGAGTCTTCCAGGTTAAAACATGCACCTGCCCGGCACGCTTCAGCCCATCGTGCTGTACTGATGTCTTCCCTGACTGGATCACTCCCTGAAAGTGTCATAGTTACCGGCTGTCTTGTTTGTCACCCTGCTAGAGCAGAAGCACTATGAGGGATC